CCCTGAGGGGCCGTGCATCTGGCTGATGCCAGCATCTTCCTTCTCGCTCCCCCGTGATCTGGTCCCAGGCTCCCCGGGTAGACGCGCCCTCTGGTGGGGGGGAGGAGTGTCCAGGCTGTTGGATGCGGGTCCCCTCTGCTGTTCATTTGTAAATGCCTCCGCCCCCCAGCGTCTGCTTGGACCCCTGCCTTCATCATCTCGGGTGAAACCGTTAGCCATTTAGAAATTTTCTCCCAAAAGAAGGAAGCAAAGAATAATAAATTTAATGAATTTATTTTTTGAGCATCTATTAAGTGCCCCTTATGCTTCATAGGTTAACTTTTTAAATTAAAAATTAAAAAATAATTCTCACATTTCCCCCATGAGGAAGGTCCTATGAGCTGCCTCTCACAGATAAAGAAATTGAGGTTTGAAGTGACCTGCTACAGCTACTCAACTTGTGGGTGACAAAGCCAGGACTTGACGTCCGCCCTTTAAACATATTTTTAAATTCATTGATTTTAGAGAGAGAAAGGAGGGAGAGAGAGAAAGATCAATTTGTTGTTCTAGTTATATATGCCTTCCTTAGTTGATTAAGGTATGTGTTCTGACCGGGGACTGAACCCGCACTTGGGTGTCAGGACAAGGTTCTAACTGAGCCACCGGGCCAGGGTGACATTCACCCTCAGCGCCCCACTGACCTTGCTGCTCACCGTCACCTTCTAAAGAGGATGTTGGGGAGGGGCAGCGGTGTGTTGATCCCTTTGTTCTTTGAGAGGAAAAGGACAGGAAAGGAGACAGGCAGAGATCAGGGGCCTCAGCCAAACTCCGTAACAGCAGGAGGCCGTGCGCAAAGGTGCCAGAAGCCACAGGCTGACGTCTCCACTGGGTGCAGTGGTCACAAGATCTCACACACGGGACACTTCAGGGGCCACTGAAGTGTTTTATTTACCGTCTCGTAAAATCGGAAGGAGAAACTGAACTTTTAGGTCGAAGAAAATGTTTTACTACGTAACACTGACAGATTCTTTCGATGCAGTTGTAAAATATAATTACACGTATGTGTGCATGTTTATGTATGTCTATGTATAATATATAAATATTTTTTAGTGTAGGGGGCCCTTGAATGCAGAAGTACCTCAGGCACAGGAAAGTCATCATGGGGACCTGGGAGGCACAGGCCTGAGTGCCAGGTGCAGCTCCAGCTGGGGGTGAGCTGCCCCTGCCCCCGGCCCCCGCCCCCACTCTGCACAGGGAACGCAGGTGGGACACTGGGCCCCTGAGAGTGGTAATAAATGCCATCTGTTAACTATTAACAAAATCCCAGGCTTTATCTCCCCGGCCCTCACAGCACTGATTGTTCTCAGTTTACAGAGGGAGACACTGAGCTCAGAGAGGTTAACTCACTGGGCCTGTGGTCACGCAGCAGCGAGTCAACAGTGGGACTAAGATTCCAGTCCCCAGTCGTCCTTCAGTTGACTTTCGAGGACTCTCTCCTGCCCTGGGAGTCGAGACTTTCTGAAGCCTTCCACTGGGGTGCAGGGAATAATTTTCTAGTGGTTTCCTGTGCCCAAGCTCGTCTCCCCGCCAGACCCGGTCTCTTTAAGGCCCGCCTGTGTTTTGTCCTTTCCCTCTACGGAGGCCCTCCAGCCCGTGCATTTGAATAAAGCCGTGCATGTTTGGGTTGCATGAGGGAGACCCTGGGCAGCCAGCGTGGCGATGCGCTTCTGGGGCCCAGAGGTGTTCGCACCAGCAGCTGTTTGGCTGCTCTTCCCTGTGGCCTCCTAGTGCAGCTCGGGGCCTCATGTACAGTGGGTGAGGGCCCACCCGGAAGTCCTGGGCACCTGCTTCTGCAGCCACTTTGCCCTCGTAACTCTGGACCACCAGCAAGGAAACATGGCCATAGAGGGCCTCCAAGAAATGCGATTTCTGATGCCTGCGTAATAGTTCATTTATATTTTCATAGCGTCATCACTTAGCTAATCCTGTGTTATCGAGGTTTCTTTCCGACCTCGTCCCAGAGCATCCCAGCACCTCTCAGAGGTGGTCACGGTGGTGGGGGGAAATTTACAGCCTTCCATGCACTTATTAATAAAAAGAGAAGATGAAAAATTAATGAACTATTCAGCTTGAGAAGCTAGAAAAAGAGCAATAAAAATTTTTAAAAACACTGAAAAAAAAAAAAGCTAGTGAGTGTGAAGGCAGGCAGTGAAACTGACCGCTGGTTCTTTACAAAGACCCAGACAGTACAGCGCCTGGGTCATGCACAGACTGAAAATTCTTTGGTCCAGAGGTCTTCAATGAGTGTTATTTCTCCCACCAACTTTTGATAACACCTGTTTGGCCAAGTGTATTAGTTACTTGTTGCTGTGTAACTAATTAACCAGAACATAGGGACTTAAAAATCAGAAACATGTTCCTCGAAGTTTCTGTGGGTTAGAACTCCAGATGGGACTTAGCTTGGTGACTTCTTGCTCAGGGTCTCCATAAGGCTGCAGTCACAGTGCTGGCTGAAGGGTGGGAGACCCATTGCCAAGTTCACTCCCATGGCTGTCGGCAGGCCTCAGGTCTTCTTTGGCAATGGGCTAGAGACAGCAGTTCCTTGGATCGTGGACCTCTCCATAGGACTGCTCGTGACTTGGCTCGCTCGCTTGCTTCCTCCAGAGCTAGGGAGGCAAGAGAGGGAGAGAGAGAGAGAAGGAGAGAGAGAGATAGAGAAGGAATAGGACAGGACAGGGCGGGGAGAAAGAGAGAGCACGCAGCCTTCCGAGGATCTTTCTTTTTGTAACTTAATCTTGGAAGTGACATCCCATCGCTCCTGCTATGTTCTAGTACTCTATCAGAACAGAGTCCTGGGGTCAGCCACCCTCAAGGGGAGCCAGTTATTCAAGGGCACCAATACCAGGGGCCACCTCAGAGGCTGCCACCACCCAAAGGGCTTAAGGTCATACATACTCCTGGAGGTCAAATGCCCCTCTCACTACGTGAGGGCAGTGTTGCAGCTTTGAGAGTGACTGGAGCAGTGGGTTGGTAGCCAAGGCAAGCTTTGCTACTCATGGGTTGTGTGTGCCCTGGGAACCTTGGTTAACTCTCTGAAAACTGGAGCAATAATAAAGATCACCTGAGAACTTACTGAGCTTGTTGCGAAAAGGGAGGGAGAAAACGCTCTGTAAAGTGCAGAAGGTGGGCATTTAAGAGAATAAGGGTGGAGATGCAAGGAAGGTTAAATGATTCTTTCTTTTCTTCCTCCCTCCCTCCCTCCCTTCCTTCCTTCCTTTTCTTTCTTTCTTTCATGTAAAACACACATACAGAAAAGTGCACAATTTGGAAATGTGTCCCTTGTCTTTAAACATTTCTTCCGAAACAAGTGAACTTTGAAGTTCTTTTTACTTTGTGCACTTTCCAAAACCTCCAGTGAGCTAGAATTACTCTTATAATCAGAAAAATACCACCTTTACACGGTGTCGTTTTTGTTGATTGGAGAGTTTCCGTGTAAAAAGCATTTGAGAACTCCTTATCTTGCTAGGGGTTTACCTCAGCCCTGGGAGAAAAGCTGAGAAGGAATTCATTTCCTTGGGGACAAAATGAGGAAACTATTCTTCTCCTGGGGCAGGCAGGGGACTGCAGGCTGTGAGCCACCCGTCAGCTCCTGGCACCGGAGGGCCCGCGGCTGCGCCAGCCTCCCCGCACCCCTCCCGAAGGCCCCCGCCAGCTCTGCTGGAAAAGCTCCGGCTCGCCAAACCAGTGCTCCAGGAAAATTCTACTCTGGGAATCCACCCTGAATAAGTTGTCACGATGCAGTCACCCTTCGTGTGCCGACAGACTTGATGCAGTGGCACTTTTAATAGAAAACACTCAGAGTTAACGTCAGTGGTCAGCAGAAGGAAACTGGTGGAATATATCTGGTCATTGAAATGTAGCTCTGAAATGTAGATTTGTGGTTGCTGAACGAAGTATGTACAGAGAGGGGGGAGTTGGGATACAAGCCCACAGAAAACCGCCAGTGGGAGGAACTGTGAGATGGGGAGGCAGGGCCCCTCCTGGTGGGCGGGGTGAAGAGTGGGGCTTTTCATTCTTAATCAACAGCTCTAATGGCCTGTGGTGAGCAAGTCGGCTCCATTAGGAAAGGAAGGAAGGAGCAAAGCGTTTAAATCCCTGACAGCACTGACCTCCCCCCTCCCGCTCCTGCCCTGCTTCTGACACGTTTTCGTGGATACTGCTGAGTGTATTCTTCGAAGCCGCCCTGTGTTGCTTAAAACCGACACGCAGAATCAGAAAAGTGATGGGTGAGGGGAGAAAACAGAGCAAAGGGCTTTTATGTTTTTTTTTTTTAAAGATTTTATTTATTTATCTTTAGAGGGGAAGGGAAGGAGAGAGGGAGAGAAGTATCAGTGTATGGTTGCCTCTTGTGCGTCCCCTGCTGGGAACTGGCCCAAAACCTAGGCATGTGCCCTGACTGGGAATTGAACCTCAATCCTTTGGTTCGCAGGCTCAGGCTTGTGCTCAACCCACTGAGCTACACCAGCCAGGGCCCATTTATATTTCTTAATCCCTTTACCTTTTCACCGATCCATCCCAACCCCCCTCCCATCTGGCCACCATCAAAATGCAGAACAAAAGACTTGTAAAGAGCCTCTGGACCTCATTGGGAACGAGCAACTTAGGGGTTTTATAAAGGGAGTCTTCATTTCAAGGCTGAGAAAGCAGCGCACAGGGGCGCTGGGTGGCCCGCCAAGCTCTCAGGCCCTTTGTGCTGGGCTCCTGGCGCCCAGGCCAGCTCTGCTCCTGCCCTCTCGGGCTCCCGGAGGAGGCTGGCCCGAGGCTGGGCTCAGGGAGCCCGAGGGGGCAGGGGATGCTTTGAGTGGACGGGACTGGCCCAGTGAGGAGCCTTCTGCCTGTTTGTTCTGGGTACTTGGGAAGAAGGGACCAAAGTCTCCTTTTATGGCCTCGGGGCAGTTAATATGTAATGTCCTGGAGTATAAGCAGGGCCAGGTGGCGAGCGTCTCAGTCCAGGCCTCCAGTGGTCAGTGCGCCGAGAGCTGCCTCTGGGAGCGAGGAGCCACCACCATGTCGGTGAGATGCTGGCTTCCCCGCCACCCACCTCCTGGATTCACCCATGTCTTCACCTGAATGGGGGTGGGGTCGCTAGGGGAAGAGTGTCACTGACCCTCTCCAGGCCTCAGTTTACCCTTCTGTAGAGTGGCAAAGTCCACCAGGTGGTCCCCACAGCCCTTTGGCATCCAAGCTCTCTGCTCCCTCCGCCCTGTGCTGAGCCTCTCTCTTCCCTCTGTAGCTTTGCTGAGCTCATCAGTAATATTACTAGCAGCAATAATAATAACTAGCGACATCTACTGAGCTTTAGAAAGATGAAGAAATGGAGGCTTGGAGATGAAATTGTCCAAGGTCATAAGCTATACATTGCAGGGGGTCGAGTGGACACTCTGAGGTCCCTGATTCTTTGATTCCAAACCTGGCTCTGCCGTAGCTTGCTGTGTGATTTCGGATGAGTCACTGCCCATCTCTGGGCTGCAGTGTCCTGCCTTTGGGGAAAAGGATCGCAGACACCTCTTCTGGGCATTAGGGGGCGTGTTAGTGCCCTGTGGCTGCCACAACAAATTTATTCTCTTACACTTTTGGAGGCTGCAGGTCTGAAACTGGGGTGCTAGCTGGACCACACTCTCTCTCTGAAGACACCCTTCCGGTCTCCTCCAGCTCCTGGTGGTGACCACACTCTGGGGTGTGGCATCGCTCGTGGCTGCCCCTCTCAGTCTGTGCCCCTATTTTCACGTGGCTTTCTCCTCTGCATGTCTGTGTTTTGGGTCCAAATTTCTTTCTTCTTATAAGGACAACAATCCTATTGGATTCAGGTCCGATCCTAAATCAGTAGGACCTGGTTTTAACTTGGTTATGTTGGCAAAGACCCAGTTTCCAAACGGGTTACATTCCCGGGTCCCAGGTGGACTTGATTTTTTGGGAAAGGCTGTTCCAGCCAGTACAGGTGAGGCGCAGAGTAGGAGTGAGACTGGAGTGGGGGTGGGGGTCTGGTGTGGAAAGTCTGGCGCTCTCTGCCCTCAGGAGGAGCTGTGAGGCCCAGACCCTTCCCTGACTCTCTTCTCCTGGTCACGCCACCTGCGCCCTTGCTTTCTTCCTTCTCCGAGACCTCCCAGGCCCAGTCCCATATTAGGGCAACCAAGGACCAGGAAGGAGTGCAGCTGGCTCCAGGTCACTAAGCCAGTTGGGGGCGACGCAGACACTAGAGCCGGACCACTGGCAGCTGCCCCCACCCCACCCCAGCTTCGCTCCTTGTCTCTGGGCTTCAGACTTTGTTGAGGGTGACAGGGACACGAGGCATCCCTACTTGTCTGGCTGCACTCCGGACCAGGGCTACAATAAGTAACCGTAATGGTGGTCGCCCCTCAGTGGGCCTGAGCCTGTGCCGGGCCCTTGCTATGCGCGGAGTTTCCCGAGCACCGTCTGGAATTCTCCCAACCAGCTCGGGGGTGGATGCTGTTACCCTCAGGGCCTCCAGGAGTGCGGTCACACAGCGGGCACTCGGCCACGGGTGTCCAGCGAATACACCCAGTTAACCCGTTTTGTAGGAGAGGAAAGTGAGGTTTGGAGAGGCACTCGGGTGGATATTTCGGACGCGACGTCTGGAGTTTCATAGATTCCCACTTTCGGGTGGACCAAGACCTGCATGCCTCTCATGGTCATTCTGTTAGTAGCTGGCTTCAGGTTTGTGTGGGAACTAAACACACCCTTGTGCTGGGGATCCCGCCAAGGGTGTCGTGCCTTTACTGCTTGAACACGCTCAGGAACTGCGAGGTCACGGGGACCACTCTACCTGCTCTATCGATGGGCAAACCAAGATTCCCTCAGCTGGGCCCTGTGACGAGGCTGGGATGGATGAGAGCAAAGCAAAAGAGGCCGAAAGGGGGCTCTGGCTCTCACCCTCCCCAGCTCTGCACCCTCCTGTGGGCAGGGGGGAGGGAGACCCGGGGCCCGGCCAAGGTGGGGTAAAACTCATGGACACCGTCTGGGCACCTGCGTGGTTGGTATTTTGTGGACTATTTCTCTGATGGCACAGGGGAAATTTGAGATTATGAACATGGACATGAAGTTGGGGACAACCCTGAAGATCAAGGGCAAGATTGCTGATGATGCTGATGGGTGAGCAGGGAGGGTGGGGTGGGGAGAGGGATTGTCCGCAGACCTGGACCAGGCTGGGAAGGTGGGGACAGGCAGGGCAGCCCCGTGGGATGATCAGAGATGAGAGTGGCCTAAGGCCAGAGGGGTCTTTTTCCCCGCACGTGCCCACTCCCACCCCCCTGCTGGCTTTGCTCCTGTTAGGACCTGCCTTCATACCTGAGGCTGGGTGTGAGGTGCCTGCGAATTTCACAGCTGATGCCTTAAGCTCTGTTCCTTGGCTTCAACAGTGGAGAAGCTCCTGGAGCTCTGCCCAGCTCTCCACCGGCCAGGTGCCTCTACTGAAAACCCAACCCCCCAGGAACACCACTGGCTTTACACAGCCCAGGGGCAGGAGGCCAGCAGTTCACACAAGTTATACCAGAGGTGGCCACCAGGGGCGCCAAGTGGTCTCCTTTGCATCCTCTCCGTTAGAAGCAGATACCTTTATCCACCTGGCGGGTTACAGCTCAGCGCTAGGCTCTTACTCATGTCTGCATTTCATGGAACTGACCTCCATCACCTTTTGGTTGGGGAGGAGGCAGGCAGATCCATGAAATAGGAGCCAAGAGAAAACTCACCCCTTTCTCCCACTTTGGTCCCTCAAGGTAACAGGAAAGTGGGGGAGAGCTCTGGTCTGAGGCCTCCCAGTGAAGGCACCCCGTGACCTACAATGTCCCCCTCTCAGAGAACTCTGAAGGGTTCACCTAGGCTCCTGCAGCAACCCTACCGAGAAATCACACAACCCCTGATCGCATACTTCTAATGACAGGGAGCTCCCCACCTCAGGTTGACAACTGTTTGTGGCCAAACTTAACAGGTCTTTGAATAGCTGAAGGCAGCTGTTCTTTCCCCCAGGAGGGACACTCCTAGTTCCTGAAACTGCCCCCTGTAGAGAGCCTGAATCCTGTGCTCCTCCTGCAGCGTGTACTCCAAGGCCCAGTCTGACCACCTGTCACCTCCCTTGCTGTAAGGCACAGACCTCAATGAATACATCCTTTTTTGGGTGATACTTCCAGCTCATGATTAACTGAGGCCCTACGACCCAAGCTGTTTTACCCAGGGCGAGCCCCTAACCCTCACCTGTGACCCCTTCCCCTGCAGGTTTGTGATTAATCTGGGCCAAGGGACAGACATGCTGGATCTGCATTTCAATCCACGTTTTGGTGAATCCACCATAGTCTGCAATTCATGGGATGGCAACAACTGGGGGAAGGAGCAACGGGAAGATCACATGTGCTTCAGCCCAGGGTCGGAGGTCAATATGAGGTCAAAGAGGAAAGGGGCCTGAGGACAATGTCAAAGGGGGAGCCCAGCGGGTAGGGAACCTGGGTCTAGACCGGTGCTGGCACTGTTTGAGCCGCCGGGCAACGCCACGGCCCATGTCCAGGGAGCCTCCTGCCCGCCCCTGATCCCCTCCCTTCCACGGCAGTTCACTGTGACCTTTGAGAGTGACAAATTCAAGGTGAAGCTGCCAGACGGGCACCAGCTGACCTTTCCCAACAGGCTGGGCCACGGCCACCTGAGCTACCTGAGCGTGCTGGGCGGGTTCAGCCTCTCCTCCTTCAAGCTTGACTGAGTGGGCGGCACCTCGCAGAGGCTGGCCCCCAGCACGCCCAGCCCTGAACTTCTTCCCAGTCACTCCGGATCAGCAGCCTCTGGGCCCCGGCTCCCCATCTGCACTGCCTGCCTCTCTGACCCCATTTTCCTCCCCCAATGCTAAGAATAAACATAAGAATCCACCTTCATCCAGCCTTTCTGCGGCAGAAATTGTGGTTAACGTTTCCCATGCATTTTTATGCTCCTGGCTTTCTCAAGATACTGAGGAGGAAGCTCCGACAGGTCATAGTACTGCCAAGTTGGGGCTGGGAGCCACTTCCAAACACCTCTACGTACCAACTCTTGCCTCCTGGTCCCCTGTTATCAGCAGAACCAGTGCCCAACTTCCCTGAGGGATTAGAGGCAGGTACTGGCTCCAGGCACCTGGGCCCGGGGCTGTTCCCGGAACTGCGATAAGGGCTCCCACCTGGGTCCTTATCTCAGGAACATTCATTCCAGCCTGGTTACTCATTACCCCTGTCTTGGCGCCCCCCCAGCTGGGGTGCTGAGCTGGGGTCCTTGGCTCCCAAACCCAAAGCTGAGGGCATTTAAGCAGGTGGAGCTGCCACTCAGGTCCCCGAACATCTTGCAGGACACCTCTTACCAAAAAAAGCCTTTTTTAATCAGAACCCAGAGGCAGGTCTGGGGTGCACAGGAAGCGGGGAAGCCACACCTGATTTTTCTTCGAGGTCTCTGGGACAAGTTGGGGTTGGGGTGGGGATGTGGGGGAAGAAGCCCTAGTGAGGGCAAGGGGGCAGCTTCAGGATGAGTTGGGGCAGGCGGTCCCATAGGGAGGAGACAAAGGCCCTGTGTGGTGTGCCCGCTGTCCCCCACTCAGCTTGGACAGCTTCCCCAGCACAAAGGCCGCACTGTGAGCCTGGGCTGCTCAGCCAGTGGGGGCGGGGCCGAAGGAATGGCCCCTGGGTCCACAGTGGTAGTTGTGAGGAAGCAGGTCAGCCCAGCAGGGCCCTCGGGAACACCAAGGTCCCAGAGCAAGCCTGGCCTCCCTCCCATGTCTGTCCGGCAACAGCGTGGAGGGTTTGGGGACAACTCAGGTCCTCCCAGTTGTCAGATGAGGGGCTGGTTCTGCACTGGGCTCTTCATGGGTGACAGCCGGAGGTGGGGCAGGGTCCTGAGCCCACGCTCAGCGGCTCACACCTTGACCTCATCGTCCTCCTCAGCATCGGCAAACGCGAAGGTGTTTGTCTGCACCGTGCTGGGCACGGGCGCCCTGCTGGCCGCCTGGGGTGCCTCCCACTCTTCGTCCAGGCTCTCCCAAGAAGCCCGACCCTGGGGCAGCACTTTCACCAGCTCCCGCCGAGCATCCATCTCGGTGTAGTGCAGGCTGCCCCTGCCACTACCCCAGCCTGCTCCCCAGTGCCTGCCAGGGGCCATGTCGGCAGGCACACGGGGACACTCGCCCACCAGGCTGGCCCTCGCCTCAGCTGCTGGGCCCAACCCAGAGGTCATCCCGTTGGGGCAGCGTCCACGGGGTGGAGGGCTTGAGGCCGGGGTGGGGGGGTTTGCTGCAGGGGCGGGGGGGTTTGCCGCAGGGGCTGGGGTGGGGGTCTCGGCCGCAGAGGTTTCTGAGAGGCTCATGACCCCCAGCAGCTCACTGAGGAGAGAGGGCCCAAGGTCCAGGTCCAGACGGAAGGACAAGAGGGAGTCTGAGCGGTGAAGCTCAGGTTCGGAGGGAAAGGAACTGTCACGGTCTCGGTCACGAGGCTTTTCTGCCCGATGCACTCGGGAGATGGTGCAGAACCCGGAGTCCAGGCCTAGAAGAGAAATGGGGAGTAGGGTCAGAGCTGGGGTCCCTGACCATGAGTTGGGGAGGAGAGAGTCAGGACCAACCACACCTTGCTGTCTGGCCTCTCAAAAGTCATGGCCCCCAGCTGGACTCAGTTCTCCCCTCTTTCCAATATAGGGAACCCCACAGTCTCTCATGATCTTCCCATCTACCCTGGAAACTGACAGTGGACATAATAATCCTTTCCCACTTTGCAGATGAAGAAAGTGAGGCTCAGCTAGGAAGGGCTTGCCCAGGGCCATGGTCTGACGTGGTGGAACCAAGCCTGGAGCTCAGGTCTCCTGTCTCAGTTCCCACTGTATACTTGGCCTTGGCCCCTGGTCTTCTGACGTGACAATGGCCAGTGGTTGATGGTGAACCCACAGTATGTGATGGTCACAGGGATGGAACCAGCAGCTGGGATCTGACTGCATAGAGATCACAGATTCAAAGGATGCCCTCTAAAAGTCCAGCCTCTGGCTCCCGGACAATGGGGCTTGAGACAGCGTGGCTACTGTGGACCAGCCCTCAGTGGGGTTCCCAACAGTGACCTGCAGGGGGAGCACTAGAGGCAGCTGCTGGTTGTGGCGCAAGGATGCAGAGCAGGGAGTGGCCACCAGATGGCAGCAGAAACCCTGGTTCCCAGGTAGCACCTGACTCTCCACCTGAACAGGAAGGGCCTCTGACTTGTCCCTGGGAGCAGTTTTCCAAATTAATCAGTATATTTTGGGGAGTGGACTGGTTCCCACTCCCTGACCCTTCCCTATTCACAGTACTGACCTCTATGCTCATTACCAAACTACTGTGGGGAAAAGACCTCACTTGGAGGCTTGGTTGAATCATTAAACCCTCTGGGTCTCAGCACCTGAAAAATGGGCAGATAACCCCAGGCCCTCACCATAACTGGAGTGGCCATCCGTGGAGCCGGCCGGGCTGCTGTTGAAGCTGAGCTTGCTCACCACGAGGCTGTCGTAGGCAGCCTGGTTGAGCTGGGGGAGGGAGATGGCGTTCTTGATGATGGGGGAGACGGCAGGTGGAGCAGGTGAGGGCGCCGGCGGGGAAGCTAACCGCCGGGGCGGCACCCCCGCTCTGCGCACCTGCTGTAGCTTCTTGGCCAGGAAGCTGCGGGGTGAACGGTGGGTACCCCGGGAGCCGCCCCCGTGGTTGCTGAGGAAGGAGGTGTCGCCAAAGACGTCCCCGCCGCGGCCCACATGCATGGTGTGTCGGAAGTCCCCGAGCGGGGGGCTGATCATGTCCGCAGTCAGCCGCCTCTTCCCCTGAGAGCTGGACACCCAGCCCACGGGTGACAGCTTGCCCAGGCTCATGATGGGGGCTCCTCCAGCCCCCTGGGGGCCCGGCATCAGCTCTGAATGATCACAGCTGCTGGTCCATGCCAAGCTGGGGCAGGCAGCGGGTCCACTTCTCCCTTCTCTCCTTTCCAGTGCCAGGTGGTGGACGGGACCACTCCTCTCTTCTCCTAAGGTGCTGCCCCCAAATGCCGAGGCTGCTGGGGGTCCATGGCTGGTCTCTCCCCAAGGCCTGGCTCCTGGATCTGTGGAACCAGCTGTCAATGTTCTGTCCAAGAACAGAGCAGGTGTGAGACGTGCCCCAAGCGTGGACAGTCCCTCTTCTACCCACGTGGAGACCTGAAAGAAAGGCAGAGAGGTGACAGTAGGCCTGGGGGGACCTAGGGCCAAATGGGAACAGCTAAAGAGAATACACCATGACAGCCAACAAGGGCAGCGTGCGGCTGGCAGGCGCTGGGCAGTGAGTCGCTGACAAAGTGCAGAGCTGTGAGGGAGCCCAGGAAATTCGGAGTGGTGCACTCACGGGTGCGTGGCCATCGCACGGGGCTGGGTGTGGAATACCTACTCCCACTACCTGCCAATGACTAGTGTCTGTCACTTACTCGACCCACATGACAGCCCCAAGGGAGGCACAGGTCAGGCGAGAACCGAGGCCAACGAGTGAAATGACCTGCCTGAGGCTCCACAGGGGGAACCGGTGACGCAGGGCCCCCTAAACCCTGATCCCGTGAACCCCACGCTACACTGTCTCCTGCTGGCGGGTGGAAGAAGTCGTCTCCTTTCTCTGCCTGTTAAATTGTCTTCCCCTCTGACTGGCCAGGAGGGAGGGAGGGGGAGCCCATCACAACCCGTGTGGATGGCTGTGTAAACAGCTCACGCAGAGGTTCCTCAGGGCCCTCCCACCTTCAAGGTGCTTCCTGAAAAAAGGACCTGTGGTCCGAAGTGGCTTTTTCCAGATGTCTCCTGCATGCCTGGGGCTCTGAGAAGGCTCACAGGAAAGAACTTCATCCGTTCGTCAAAGGGAGGTCGGAGCCTCGGGTGGTACCCAAAGCTATTCCCTGGCCGGTCCCCCCTCTCCTGATCTCCCACCGCCCCAGTCTTCTCTGAACTTCTCTTGGTCTGACCCTGGCCTTGCTAGCGTCATAGGAAAGGCAGGCTGGAGGACACCTGTGGGCCCCCGGTCCATCCCCGGTCTTCCTGCGGCGCAGAGAAGGGCCCCACTTGCTCCAGGTCACATGAGGAGAGCCAGTCGAGACCTGAACTCAGAGCCTGACTCACGTAGCCTTTGACTGGCGGCTGGAGCCCAGTCTTGTCTCCTCAGATTGGCGGCGCCCTCGGAGGGTGGGGCGCCGGCCTGGCTTTCCCTGCCTTCCTCCTTCCCAGCACCCGCTCAGTCTCTGTGCACCGCTCCGAGCATGGTCACTGCCAAACCGATACTGGTTCCATCGGATCCTCAGGCTGCGGGGGAACCTTCATGCTACACATCACCCCTTGCTACCTGCGAGCGGGGGGGGGGGGGGGGTGCCGCAGGGATTCAGTGGCCTCGCCGTGTGACCTTGGGCAAGTCACTTACCTCTGTAGGCCTGGGACTTCAGCTGATAGAAGCTGATAAGAATCCTTAACAAGAACACCTAGATCTGAGGGTCAAACTTTTTTTTTAAAACTTTGCTGCCACCTCCAAGCATAAAAATCCCAATACTGCCCTTTGAATGTTATGAATGTTATTTGAAATTCAAAATAGGTTAAATAACAAGATAAAAACAAAGGAGGCGATAGAACAAAGCTTGCTTTGTTTTCTGACTACATTGTCTTTCCTTCCCACCACCCGATCCTCCCCCAACCCTAACTCCTCCCCTGGGGGGGGTGTTCTGAATCATCCCTTCCCCTGGCACCCCTGGCACCGAGAAGCCCTCGTGGAATGTTTGCTGTAGTTAGGAGGCACGCTGCCGTTGGCTGGCCGTTCCGTGATGTCACCTGACTCCCCGACAGCCCCGCGGAGCTGCAGGGTTAGCCCATTTCACAGGCAGAGCCAAGGTGCAGAGGAAGGGGCTCGGCCAAGGTCACACGGCAGGCACATGGCACAGGCTGTGGGTTTCCCCGTTTTGCAGACGAGGTGTGAATGTTTGGAAAAAGAAACTGGGGTGGGGGGGGCATTCTGAAATGTCATATGGTGGGGTCACCGTGTCTGCCATGTGGCCACCCCCACTTCTCTCCTAGCCCCCCAATTCCCTGGCTTCCTGAAGCAGCCCCTCCTCTCTCAGCAAAAGGGGCTCTAGCTCCCTCTGCACCCCCGGGTCCGCTGTGACTTGGGAGAACAGCTTCTGTCCCAATCTTGCGATGATCCCACCTCCCCAAGGGCACCTCCGAAAGGTCTCCCGCTGCTCACTGCCGTAGAGGGGCCCTGCCACACCGAGGGGAGCAGACCTGCCATAGAGGGACCCGTTTTCCCCAGGTGGAAATAAGAATAGCCTCAAAGGCTGCTCCCCTCCCCCGAGGGCTGTAAGAGCGGAAGGGGCTGTGATTAAACCCCCAGAAGCTGGAGCAGGGTGACTCTCGGTTCAAACCCAACATCTGTATACCAACGGCTCTCATTCTGGGGACTCTGGTGGTGGCTGTTTGGCACTTGGTGCTGACCACAAGATACAGCTGGCGACCAGGTGTGCCTCACCTGGCCTCGGAGTAAGCCGGGCTCTGGGCGCCCTGGTGCAAGGCCTATCTGCCCTCACTAGCCCCGGCACACCACCTGCTAATGCTCACAACACCCATTCTACAGATGAAATAAACAAGGCACGGAGGGGAATCAACTTGCCCCAGGCTGCAGAGCAGAAGAGGTGGTGTGGCTGGGAACCTCCCAGGATTCCACCAACGTCACTCAGCAGTAAATGCTGGGGACCAATGAAGACCCCAGGGGCATGAGGGAGAGTTGCTGGAGGAGCCCCCGCCAGCCCCCGAGCAGGGGAAGGACAGGTCTGGGAGACAGGCGACTTGGCTCCGCAGATTCAGTGTGCCTGTGTCCCAGCCTTGGTGTGGCAGGAGTCCTTCTGTTTACCCTTCAGAAGGCAGGCCAGGGCCCTCGGAAGTTTACTCAGTGGTGGTGATGACCGCAAAGACGAGGTTTGAGGGGCCAGGCCAGAACCGTGTATTGGGAGACCAACAGGGGCCGCTGTGGAGACGCACGTGGCTGGGGGTGAGGGTCTGGGAGGGGGCGAGGAGCGGGTCTGACTGCCGGGTGGGCTGAGGCGCAGACCGGGGCGGCTGCACCCGGCGCTCATCTGGGAGTCAACCGCAGGCTGCGGGTCCGCCAGCGGCGCCGCCTCTCATCCAGGAGGCCTGTGGCGTGCTCACCCGCCAGCGTCCGCTGGGTCACACCACCGCTCCCGAGGGACAGCGGGACCCTACCTTGGTTAGGACCCCCGGGATAGGAGGTTAACTCCTTGGGGGCCTGGCTTCTCACCCTCCTCAAATGCCAGCTGTTTGAAGGGGGACAGATGTGGAAACTGAGGCCGGAAAAGAGGAGCAAGCTGTCCGAAGTCGCCTCGGGAACTCCGGATTGGGAGCGGGTTAGGGAGAGGGAGCGCCGTGGGCCGTAGGGGAGGAAGGAAAAAGTGGCGAAAAAGTGGCTGGGAGCCCCGCCGCCCAAGTCAGCGCCAAGTCCGCCCTGCGCTCGGCAAGGCGCAGCGGCTGCGGCCCGGCCGAGCCTCCCACAGACCGGGGCTCCTGTCCCCGCGCCCCGTTCTGCGCCGCGGTGGCCTCCAGGCCGGCCCCTCCGCCTCTCTGAGCCACAGCGTCCCGGTCTAGAGCGCGGGCTTCAGACTTCGCGAGTCTTGCGTGGCCGGGACAGGCACAGACCATGCGGAGGGAGGCCGGGACTGGAAGTCCGGGAGAGCCTCTGGCCATAAACCATTCCCTCCGGGGGAAAGCGGGTTCGAACGCAGAGGGTCGCTCCGGGGGAAGGGGCAGTCGGCTGCCTGGGCTGGAGGGGAACCGGCCGGGATGACCTCATCCGCTGTTCGGGCCTGGAATGCAGCGGTTGGGGAGGGGGCAGGGTGCTTGGTCCGTCTCCCCAGCGCGGCCCGGCCCCCCCGCCCCCGCCCGCAACACACACACTTCCCGCTCTCCGCGCCGGCGGAGGAGCCCGACATTCCAAGACAGTGCCCCCTCCCCGTTCCTTCCCTTCCCTTCCCTTCCCTTCCCCTCCTTACCCAGGGCAGGAAGGAGCACAGACGGCGCTCTGCTCGTCCCCTCCTCCTGCCAGCCGGTTTACCGCTCCCCCATTTCTCTGTCCCATTCCGTTCGCCGGGAACAGGGCAAAACCACCAAAAACTTGGGAGTGTCCCTGCGCTGCTTCGCGCCCAGTGCTCCAGGCCTTCCTGTTGGCACCCCGGCGCCTTTGGCAGGAGGACCCCTTCCCCCAACCCCAGCCCGGAGAGCCTAGGAGGGTGCAGAGTCTCCGTGGGCGCCGTGCCCCCTCACCGCGTCCACGCCCACCCGTGGCTCCGGGACCCGCGGGCCAGCTCGATGTTACCTTCTCTCGGAAAGCCCCGGGGCTGGGAACGAGGGCGGACTCGGCGGCAGTTGCGGCGGAGGCAGCGCGTCGCGGCGCGCAGCCGGGGCGAGTCGCTGGGCCGGTCTGCGCCGCCCTGGCCTCCGGCTCCGCGGGCTGGCTCCCGGGCGGGGGCGGGGTGTGGACGCGCGCCCTCCTCCCGCCCCCGTCCTCCCGCCCGCGGGCGGGGCCCCTCCCGGGCACCCAGTACGCCGCCCGGAGCTGCGGCCCGAACTGGAGGGGGAGTGGCGGGGCCGCCAGGCCAGCCGTCAGGGCCAAGAGGAGCCAGGGAATGTGCGGGCTGCCTGGCCGGGCTACTCGGGTTGTTTGCAGCCAGGCCCTGCCCCAACCAGATCTCCGCGTGGCCTGGGGGCGCTCTGACCTGAGGACTGGCTCCTGGGCTCTCCGGCCGCTCCCTGTGGGAGTCTGGGGAACCGGGAAGCCTGCCTCGGAGGCCTGGCTTACTGGAGAGATCAGCTTCGACCTCGAGTTCTACCAGCTGGGGTGACCACTCGCTTTCTCCCAACCACCGTTCCTTTCTACCCTACACACAAGCCCCATGGGGGCCAGGACGCAGACTTGAGCTGGACTGGGGAGAGGGCCACCGCAGGCCACGGGTACAGTGGTTGGTGTGGTGGTCAAGGACATGGTCCCTGGAACCCAACAGCCTGCCTTGCTATTCGGCCCCGGGGCCATTACACGCCTTCTCCAGGCCTTAGTCTCCCTGCCTGTAAAGTGGGGAGATGAAAGCCGGCCTCAGATCTCACGTCACAAAGTGCTCTCTGCTCTGTCAGCACCTAGCTGGCTTGCTGAGCGGGTCGATGAGCTCACACCTCGGACGCATGGGTTCAGAAAGGTTTATTGAGCACCTCACCCTGCCCCGAGGGTCAGGGGACCGGCTGCACACGGGACCCTGTGCCGCCCTGAGGGAAGAGAGGCCTCTGATTGCTGCTTCGTGTTGTCTTGCTCTCCTCTGATAACCCCCTTCGGACTGTGAGTGCCCCTCAGGCAGGCAGGAGGCCCTGGGGGCTGCCTCTGCCCAGTGACCCCTAACTGGCTTGCAGGAGAGGGGAGGGGCTCACCAAGGATTCAAGGAGGAGGTGATACCCGGCTTTGGTTGTTGTAAAGGATACCTAGGCAGCGGCAAGGGTGGTGGAAGTGCCCACGTGCCTGGCAGGAGACGACCCTGCAAAGGCTGCACGGAGGAGGCAGGTGTTGCTGGAGGGGGCGGTCTGCATTGGCTGGGCTGGGGGCCAGGGGCTGTGCTCACACACAGGTGGAGGAGACTAGGGTTTGTTCACAGACTGCTGGCCTTCTTTCATGGTCTTCCTGAATCCTCATGCAGGCCATCAGGGGAGGGCGTTATTTGCACAGCTGGAAATGGGGGACCAGAGGCAGAACCCTGGCACTTGCTCCAGCCGCACAGCAGGAGGACTGAGACTGTAGTCGGTCAGCACTCTTTCCATGGGGCTAGGCTTTGCCCCAGGGAGAACTAGGGGTCCTCTCGGAGGTGCTGAAGAGCATGGGGGAAGGGGGCAGAGGCGGCACTGGACAGGCGGGGACCAGTGGGTGGCAGGCACAGCCGGGGGCTGGGAGAGACGTGGGCCAGGTGCCCGGCCTCACTGGAGCAGGGCTGGGAAGCCAGCAAGCGTGAGATCGGGTCTGCATTTGGAAGCTCCTGTGTGAGCGCAGGATGGACCGGAAGGACAGTGATGGAGGCAGGAACCACTAATGGCAGGAGTAACAGGAACATTCATTTATTGAGTGTCTCGGGCACACCTGGCTCTACAGCCTCTTACCTGAATCATCACCGTTAATCCTCACAAGAGCCCCCTGAGACGGTGCTGTGCCTGCCATCATGTCCCCTTTGCAGAGAAGGGAAGCGACTTGTCCGAAGCCACCTACCCGCTGCAATATGTCCATACTTCCCGGCTTGCCCAGGACAGACCCTGGTGAGGCCAGCTGTCCCAGAGAAATCATTACTAGCACTTCCTTTCACTCTCAAAGGTGACCTGGTTAGACAATAAACTCTGTGTCACTCTAGTCAGAGGGTCCCCGGAGCAGCTGGTGGAGGAAGCAGTTTGGTGTGACGTCAGAGACCCAGAGCCCAAACCTTGGCCTCTGGCTCCCAGCCACTGTGTGACTGTGGGCAAGGCGCTTGGCTTCTCTGGGCCTCCAGTTTCTTGTCTTATAAAATGGGTATAATTCCAGTGCAGATATTGGCCACTTGCGGGTATTTACCACTTCTTGTGAGCCCCGGAGACACAGCTAAGAAAGCAGTCTTAACGAAAATGGTTACGGCATGGCACACACTCCCAGCGGCCCCTTTAGCTCTCGTCTGGGGGTGGGCAGGGACCTTCTCATTATGTGTCAGGCACTCTATTAGCTCACCGTGAGGCAAGCTGTGAGCCAGAAATTCTTTGTCCCATCTTACAGATGGGTAAACTGAGGCTGCGAGGAGCTCCCATCCCCCCTTTCCAGAGAGGAGCACCTCTCCGTGAGGGCTGCATTCCTGTTCCCTGGAAGGTGGGAGGAAGGGAGGGTCTGGGTACCCCTGTGCAGGAAGCAGGGACAGGCAGTCCCCATCTCCCATGGTTCCCTCCTCCCCCAATTTCCCGTGGCCCCCTTCCCTTCCCCTTTCACAAGGCTGTGCGCAGGAGCGCAGGGGTTAACCCTGGCCGAGCTGCAATCACCGTGCAGAATGCAGAACAAATGCTCGCCAGCTGGGGCCTGGGAGCTGCTCTGTGGGCCTGGCTGCCTGAAGCTCAGGAGCCCCCATCCCCTCCCCTGTCCTGGAGGGACCAGGCCCCTTGGGCTGTCATCCCAGAGCTCAGCTGCCCCCTCAACTCACCCCTGCAGGCTGTGCGGGCTGAGGCACACGGCTTATAGGAAGGAGGCAGTTTCTGGGCGGGCAGTCCTCTGTGGAGCTAGGGCGAGGGGGGCAGGGCACAGCCAGAGAGGGGAACATCCCCCTCGGGGACCCAGGAATGCCAGTGGCTGCCCAGCAGGCTCTAGTGAGGCTTGGGGTGGGAGCCCTGAGCTGAATGGGTTGGCTTGGCCACATTCAGTGCTGTTTCTACTCCACAGTCTGGCTGCGCTTTTGGTCAGTTTATGCATCTGCCCATTAATGGGTCCACCAGGTCCTCTATCTCATGAGTGTCCACTGGTTCGTCCACCCCCAGACGCAATTGCCAATCTGTCCGTCTACCCATTGCCCACACACTTGTTTATCCACTACCCACCCCTCCACCTGTCCACTTACCCTCCATTCATCTGTGCATCTACTGCCCACCCATTCAGTCACCTGACCACGTGCCCACCCCTCAGCTGGCCCAGTGCTGACACCCCTGTCCATTTATCCGTTCAGTCCCACCCACCCAAACACCTACACATCCATGTACCTTCCCCCACCTACCTGCGTATTTGCTCACCTACTCTATCTGTCCAGCATCCTTCCATCCACTGCCCACACCTGTACCCACCTGTCCAGCCACGTGGCCGACCACGATTCTACTCGGCTCACCACTCACACCACTTGGCGGGGAAACTTGGCTCACCTTCTGCGGTGGGTCACCCTTGGGCAGCACATTCTTGAAGGCTGCTTTGAAACGTCACCTCCTCCTGGAGGTCCTCCTTCAGAGCCAGCCTCTCCTCTGCACCCAGTCCATCCTCTATATTGGCGTCAGATGCCCTGCGAGGTCTTCAAAGAGAAAGTGATGTCTGTGCCCCGGCATGTCTGGGGAATGGGTGGTCCCGGCCAGCACAGGAAGGGGGTCCTCGTCCGCTAAACTGGACTGTAACCACGCCCAGGGCAGGTGCCTTCCTCCGGGACTGCTCCAGGGACACTGTCCGTGGGCTGGACTCCTGGCAGGGGCTCAGACACAGCCGGGCATTGCAGGGGGAGGGATGGCATTGGCATCTCCAGGCGGGTTGTGCTGGGGATGAGTTCCACAGCGAGGGGGGGACAGGCAACAGGCCAGCGGAGCTAGCCGCATGTGCCCACCTCTATTACCCAGCATGCATTTCCCCTCAGGCAAACCCCAGTTCAAACTCGGGCTTTGCCTCTCACTAGCAGAGTGACCCTGGACAAGCCGCTTCCTCGCCCCGCCCGTATTTGCATCATCGTCTGCGATGAACCGTGAAGTTTGCTGCCTGACCTATGGTTAATGGTCAAGGAAAAGGAGCTATTGCTGTTACTATTATTGCCGTTTTCCAGGAGGCGACTGTGTTGAACACACATCACGTGCGTGCCTGCTGTGAGCCAGAGCTGGGCCGGACACCCGGTGAGGAGGGGGCGGCAAGAAACGCAGTCCCTGCTCTCCAGACAGAGACTGGGATGTCGGTGGGGATGAAGGGCTTAAACAGTAGTAGAAGGGACCGGGGAGGCAAGAGATTGACTGAGGAGGTCCAGGGAGACTTCCTGGAGGAGGCGACATTTGAGTTGAGACTGTGTCTTGGGGTAAGATTGCCCACACGTAAAGCAGGGCTGGAGAGGTTAGAAGGTGATCTGGGAAAGGTCGACTGGGGAAGAGGGGAGAGGACTTGAGCTCAGTGCTTCTGGAGGAGGGGTGTTGGGGGGCCCTTTGTGACATGGGCCAGGCTGGGCTACTGCCCTGGCCCCAGTGATGGCTGCCCTCAGGGGTTACAGGCCCTCGGGCGCCTTGCATCCTTGACGGGAGTTTCCTCATTAGCAGAGCCCAGGCAGCAAGCTGGCCCAAACCTTTTTTGCTTTTAGTTTTTTTGCCTCTTCCGGCTGACTTGGAGAACAGGGATGTGCTGTGAGGGAGCCAGGGGCAGGCGGAGACCCTTCTGGAAGGAACTTCAGCACTGGAGTTGCTCCCTCCCATCCCAGAGCCCCGACAGTCTACACCTGGTGGGGTTTCAGGGCCTCTGGCGCTTTGGGGACACGGAGGCCCAGAGAGGACAGCAGGGCTGCACAGCGAGTCTGCGGGGGAGCTGGGGGTCCCCGCTGCCTGTCGCATGCCCTATAGTTGCCTTCGGTGTGGGTGGCATCTGCTGAGTGCCACCTCCCGGTCTCCCAGCACCAGACGGACAGGCTCGCAGGCAGTTAGGGCTCAGGTGGGGCTTCCAGGAAGGCTGCCCGAGGGAGGTGGGACGCGGCTTTACACAGACCGCACAAACCAGAGGTGTGAACGCCAGGCTGGGTGCACTAAGCATGTGCAT